ATCCTGCATATTCAGTTGTAAAGTAAGTTGCATTTTATTTTTCATAGTTTTGCTGCACTGTAGCTTTTTACATTATTTGCACGGGCTTGGCTCTTTTGACACCGGGCTTGGGTGTCATAAAATGACATTGGACATTTGGGAGATCTATGGTTCTCTGTGAGGTCCGGGCCGGGGGGGGAGGGGGGTGCCCCCACTGTTTCCAACCATGAACAGTGTAGAGGCATTTCAGTGCCACCGAGGGGACTGGGATGGGGGTGGGACCCAGTTTGGCGCCCAACAGAGCTCCGTAGGGTGCCATATTATGACACTCAAACTTGGTGTCAAAAGAACCGCGGTGAATATGCACAATAGCCGTGTTTCTGGTCTTGATGATTCCTTTGGTTGTCATGATTTCAGGCAGTACTTTGTAGACATGGAGGATACGGTTCCCCAAAAGGTTACTACTGTCATTCAGCTTGTTTTGTTAAGATATCACAAAAACTCTGTATAAAAGAGCCCATTTACAGTTAATGATGGGTCTTTTCTCACACTATGTTTGGAATGAATGAAAATATGGTGCGTAAGGAAAATAAGAGAAGAAAGTTGGGAATATGATTATTTAATCTCATTTGGACTTATGTAGAAGATAAAGGGAGAAAGAAAAACAGCTTTTATTTACTTACATGTTACAACCCAATCTCTTCAATATGGAGAGAAAAAGAGTTGAGATTGGTTTAGAATGTACTATTCCGTTATGCATTTACCTTTTAGCCTCCAATTTGTCTATCCATTGGATAATTTAAATTTCACAAATAATATGATGGGCAAATTAGTAAATTGGGAGTTTCTTTTCTTTGTCTTGGTTGATTCAAACTAAGAAAACTACATTTTTTTCATTTTCACCATATTTTGCATCAATCTAAACGAGTCAAAGGAACATAAAATTATTATACAATCTTATTTTTATCTCTCAGTATAAAATATTCTAACGTAGTGTTAGGGGAAGAGAATTAGGTCCAGACTTATATGTAGTAGTATTTATACCTTTATATATGTATCTATTTACAGGTTGTTGTACACAGTGATAGTCCAAGAGGAGTACATTTTAGGCGTGCTGGCCCTCGACAGAAGGCATGTTTCATGATTATGATACGACGATCTTTCATCATTCATGATTGCTGTGAATAATCATAATAATATTATTAGTAATAATAGGCTCACATATGTATGGGTTTAACATATGCTACAGGTGTATTTTAGTAGAGATGATGTTAATGCCTGTATTGTAACATGTGGTGGTTTATGCCCCGGGCTGAATACTGTGATCAGGGAAATTGTTCACAGCCTTGATTACATGTATGGTGTGCGCAAAGTTCTCGGAATAGATGTAAGTTACTTTAATGTTCTATATCAGCTTTCCCAAATTTTATGTCGCTGTATGAATAATTGAATATATTTGAAATTATACACTACTACTATATCCTCCTCACTTCTAGTTTCATCTTCTTCGCTCTCAAAATGTGTTGAAGTAAATGAAGCTATAGATACACTTTCAAGCCTCCCACATCGGTTGTATAAATTATAATAGGTTTGGCCGTTTGAGTTTAGTATATAAGAGTGCGGTAAATCTCATCTCATGAGGGTCCGATGGTGGCAAGTACACTCGGTTGTTTGGGTCACCTCGATTGGGGGGTCAGTTTGGGTCCATTTATAAACCCCTTCCGTTGTCAAGATGAGAGGGTGTGTTGTGTATCTCACATTGATTGTCTATTGGGTTAATTAAACCAATTCAACACATAATTCCATACTGGCTCATTATTGGGCTTTTTAAGCAGTTGCATGGCTCATTATTTTGTTGTTCCCTCATCATTGTTTTCTTCTTCTCTTTCTGATTAGGGAGGATATAGGGGTTTCTATGCAAAGAATACCATTAATTTAACTCCAAAGCTTGTGAATGACATACATAAACGTGGTGGTACAATCATTGGAACATCTCGTGGAGGTCATGATACCACTAAAATTGTTGAAAGTATACAGGACCGTGGGATTAATCAGGTACATGTATCAGATTCTTCTCTTATAGTAATATTCTGTTTTNCATAATTCCATACTGGCTCATTATTGGGCTTTTTAAGCAGTTGCATGGCTCATTATTTTGTTGTTCCCTCATCATTGTTTTCTTCTTCTCTTTCTGATTAGGGAGGATATAGGGGTTTCTATGCAAAGAATACCATTAATTTAACTCCAAAGCTTGTGAATGACATACATAAACGTGGTGGTACAATCATTGGAACATCTCGTGGAGGTCATGATACCACTAAAATTGTTGAAAGTATACAGGACCGTGGGATTAATCAGGTACATGTATCAGATTCTTCTCTTATAGTAATATTCTGTTTTTTTATGTAATTTCTTCCTAATCGCCTTTTGGTGTGAGCATACTACAACTAATTTGTCTCTTGTTGATCCTCGCAACAAGCTTTAATTGCATCTGTTTTTTCTGCTATTGCTTCAGGTCTATATTATTGGAGGTGATGGAACCCAAAAAGGAGCAGCTGCTATCTATGAGGTAATTTTAATTTCCTGGGGGATTAATTAGGGTGTGTTTGGAACCTGAAAAATGCTAGGGAAAGATAATGACAAGGATATAATGGAAATTGGAAATTTGGAATGAAAGAAAATATGAGAGAACAAAAATGGGCTCAAACTCAATAAATTGATTTTAGATATTTATTCAATTTTATTTATATATTTTTATTATATAATGCGGGGTTTATAAAGTTTTAATCAAATTTTGTTCTCCTTCCTTTTTTGCCAAGGTATGAGCCATTGTTAGAATATTTGTTCTATGTTGCAGGAAGTAAAGCGGCGTGGTCTGAAAGTTTCCGTTGCGGGGATCCCTAAGACAATTGATAATGATATTCCGGTATTTTTCCTTCCTTCACCTGTGCCCCCCCCCTGCCCGAAAGTAAGGTTCATGCTTTTCTTTTTTATCCGACCCAAAATAAGTTTCAAGTTTACTTTAAAAGGAAAGAACTGTGTGATTCATATTATTTATTTTTCCTCTAAATAATTTACAACTAAAGAATTTCACTTTGTCAAGAAGTGTGCCTAGTCAAACCAAGAACCTTATTTGGGGACAAATGGATTATTTTCTGGTTGACATCTTGGGTGTTGCGTACTTGCATTGAATTGGCATTTATTCTTAATGTAAATTTTACATTTCACTATCAGCACTTTTACGCCCATACATACAGAGTATACCCCATCATTTTGGGGTGTGTTAACTGTATGTTGCATGAGTAGTGGGGTAATAATTGAGTCATTTCTATTGATATACTACCACAGCAGAATGGAAGGATATATTGGCTGAAAATTACATTTGTCCATTGCTTTCTTATGGAATCTGTAATAATATTTCGTTGTGTGGTGTCAGGTTATTGACAAGTCATTTGGTTTCGATACTGCTGTAGAGGAGGCTCAACGTGCCATCAATGCAGCTCATGTTGAAGCTGAAAGTGCTGAGAATGGTATTGGTCTGGTGAAGCTAATGGGACGCTATAGTGGTAAGGCCGTGAAGTCCTGGTTTCACTTCAAGGAGTTTAAGATTGTTAAAAAGTGAAAAGTGTATAGATAGAATTTGTTTATAAGAGATAAATGTTGTAAGCCACTTATTCATTTTCTTTTATGAAAAGAAAAAGAAGTGGGAAGTTTATTTTGGGATGTACGAAAAAAGGAAAGTGAGAATTTTATTTGGGTACAGAACGGTAGGGTTTTGACATTTTATAGAAATTGAAAGATTGACGTAGTATGTGATTGCATTCCATTTCTATCATCTTTTTTTAAAAATAAAAAATCCATTTTGTTTCTGACTAATTTGGCTCTGCAGGGTTCATTGCAATGTATGCTACTTTGGCAAGCAGAGACGTTGATTGCTGTTTGATTCCAGAGTCACCCTTCTATCTTAAGGGACAGGGCGGGCTTCTTGAGTACATTGAGAAACGGCTCAAAGAAAATGGGCACATGGTAATCGTGGTAGCTGAAGGAGCTGGACAGGAACTTCTTGCTGCTGAGACCTCAAACGCCAAGTCCGAGAAAGATGCCTCGGGAAACACGCTTCTCCAAGACGTTGGCATGTGGCTTTCCCAGAAAATCAAGGTATTGGTTGGATGATACCATTGCATAATTTCTTTTCATTTTCCTTGCCTCTTCTGTTCAAGGAATTTGATAGGGAAAAGAAAAAAAATGAGAAAATATTTTTCTTGTTTGGTTAGAGAGGAAAATAAAGGAAAAGTGGAAGTAAATGAAAATGAAAAGGCAAAATGTACCAAGAGGAGAGAAAATCAAATTCCTCCCATTTTGTTGAGGAAAATGAGGGGAAACCAATTTCTTTTCTTATCCTTCCAAATTCCTTGAACCAAACATAGTGTTAGTTCTTGTATATATTAGAACAATATGGTAGAGCCGCAGGTTGGACCAACTGATGATGAATAAAGATGCATGAAAAGATGCAATGGATTAAATTAATAAAGAAAAGAAGAAAGAGCATTGATCTTTAGAGAGAACTGCCCGAGAGCCCAAAAGGACACTCCCAAGCAAGAATGTTTTTTGCTCACAACTAAGTATACTGTAAATATTGTGTAAAGCTGTTGATGCCTTCTTCCCCAAACGGCCAAACCTTTGTTTGTTTCGGAGATTTCGGAGGGGAGGGCAGAGAGGAGGGATGATTTATAATTTATTGAGTTTTTTCTTACATTTAGATGGTTGAAAAGAGAGTACAACAACAACAGACCAGTAAAATCCCACAAAAGAGAAGAGAGTGAAGATGAAAAAATGTATAGATGCATGATGTAACTAAACATATAGGGAGTAGTTAGGTATTCCTACATATTTAACAAAAAAAACGTATAGAAATGCATGAGGTTATTTCCCTTGTAACTGAAATTGTGTCAACCAAAAAATTGCCAAACGAATTTTAATTATAGCCTCTTGATGTAACCATTTACTTTTTTTGAAGTGGGAAAACCATTCAACTAACCCTACATATTAACACTTGTTACATATCATTTTCTTCTTGCAGGATTATTCTAAAGAACAGAAATTCCCAATTACTCTTAAATATATAGGTTGAATATCTATTCCAAACATTTTTCTGCAGTTTTGCTCTTTGCGAAAGCTTTTTTTTTACTGAATAAATAGATCATATATTGCAGATCCAACTTATATGATCAGAGCCATCCCAAGTAATGCATCTGACAACGTGTACTGCACTTTGCTGGCTCAAAGTACTGTGCATGGAGCCATGGCTGGATTTACTGGCTTCACTTGTGGCCTCGTTAATGGCCGCCACACTTACATTCCCTTCAATGTGAGTTTTAAATGATACTCCCTCCGTCCCTATTTTGATCACAAATTGCGGAAAACGAAGAAAAATCCTAAGTTTTTTCAATTCATTTTATTTAAAGATTGAGACATGGATAAAAAAAATAAAATTCACATATTTAAAAACTACATCAAATGTTTTACAAAACAAGAGGTGACAAGAATATTTTATTTTATCAAATAATTAATGAAAATGCACAAATAAACAAAAGTTATCGTGATTTTGGAATAATAAACATTGTAATCAATTGTGGAACGGAGGGAGTATGTACTTAAACCCCTTGTCTGGTTGGTAGATTTTCCTTGGATCACGAAAAAATGCTAGGGAAAGAAAAACAAAAGGTAGGACAATAACAACAAGCAAACCCAATAGTATCCCATAGAAGTGGGGTCTAGGGAGAATGCGTGTATGCAGACCTTATCTCTACTAGGAAGTAGATAGGTTGCTTCGAACACACTCGGCTAAAAAAAGCATCGGTAGAGTAAATTAAAGTCAAGTAAAATAAAGTAAACACAATAGCACGAAGCCACGAACAAGGTTACGGAGTATATGATACACATTTCACACATTTATTTCTTTGCATATATTTAGAACATACACAATATGAAATTGATGTATGCACATTTAATAATTACACGATGCTCATTTTGTGGTTAAAAGATTTGTTTTCATTAAGTTGCTAATAATACTTCCAATCCATGAGAAATAAAAATGAAGTCACAGAAAAGTGCACATTTTTTTATAACTCAGAGCATGCACATTATAAAACTACGTGTGCACGTTTACAAGCTCCTCCGTAGTACATAATACTGATTGGGCTTAGGAAAGTAAATATATCCCGACGTACGATATAATTATTTTGAGATTAGGGTTGTGCTTAATCCTCAGAGATTCTTACATTGCAGCGCATTGTAGAGCGGCAAAACAAGGTTGTGATCACCGACCGGATGTGGGCCCGTCTTCTTTCTTCGACCAACCAGCCAAGTTTCTTGTGTCTCAAGGATGGGGAAAACTCAAACTCGACGGGGGGAGAAGGAGAAGAAGAAGTGCAAAGGCTGCAGGGGTTGATTGTGGAGGATAACGGCAAGACGCCCGGCCTCTAAAGGTACAAAAATACCCCTATTAAACCAGAGGCATATACAGTAAGTAGTAAAGTATATAATCACAATAATAGTGTGAAATAAACCACTGTAAATTGTAAAATACGTAGCTCTTCATATGCTTCTGCTACTGCTATGAAGAGGTTTCTGTGTATAATAGTGGAAAATAAATAAATAAATAAATAAATAAATAAATATGTTTATATTAGAATAATTGACCTCCCTCTTGTAGGACCTGTTTGGTTGAGGCTTTTATTCATTTTTTTGGGTATTTGTTAGTAATTTAATATTTGTAACTGAAATGCTCAAATACTTGAGGGTGATGCCATACAGATTTCGTGTAGTTTTACATTCTGTATTTGACAATGAGCACAATTTTTTGCATCTATCATTATACTTTATTCGTCCACAATATTACTATTTTCGTCCTGGAATATTTGTCCACTTTTGATTTTTTCCAATCAATTATTATTAACTTTTGACCTATAATTAAATAAAATGTATATTGTATATTAATTAGATAAAATAATATTTTGAAAATATTTTATATAATAAATCTAATAAAATTGTTTTGTATCAATATATAATAGTATTTTTATTTAATTTAGAGTCGAAGTTTATCAATTTTGATCGTAAAAAGTCAAAAGTGGACAAACACTCCGAGACAGATGAGTATCTACACATTATATTTGGCTTTTTGCAGTTTCCAAAAGTCAACATTATGATCATTAATATATCTATTTATATGAAGATATACTATGTATGTTATACGGAGTAGATAATAAAAAATTATATTTCAAAATAAATTTATTAATATTAAAATTATGCTATAATGACATAATACAAGGTACTTTTTCTAGGTAAGTTTAAAGTTCAAAAAACATGGACAAAACAAAGCCAAATAAAATAGTTACACAGGGAATTGTTTTTTCCTAGAAAAAATGGTTTCATGTTTATGATTGACAAAGTAGAGATCCATTGTTTGCCCATCTCTCGACAAAATTACTTATGTCAAATTAGAATTTATAATATTGAGTTCAAAATCTTAAAATGCATTTTTTCCTAGGAATTAGAACTGGAAATTGACGCTTAACATTCAAAAAAACATTATTCTTATTATTCATTTGAATAATAATGATAAGAATAATAACAACAATAATAATTACTACGTACATTATTATTCAGGCTACATATTGATGATACATGAGAGCAGTAACTTGAGTATAGTTCACAAAAGCAACTCAGCGAAGGAAGGACAGGGCTAATACTCAATTAAGAATTCTTCAAAACAAAACAATTTCATCCTCATTGTCTACATTTCTTCATTGAACCCTTTGGTAGAAAATATGGCGGGAGAAACAACGGGATCACAAATGCGACTCCCAAACACAGCAATGCCAACACGACAACGTACCACGCTTTCTCTGGAATGCCCAAATATAGTTCATCACAAACTGCAATGCCATTCATATATATTAAATCAGAAAACGGACAATAATTCTTCTAAACAAAACTCGCTAAAAAAATGAATTGGAGTAATAATCGGATAATGTATCCTAATTCACGATTTCTGGCTATAAAATGGATTGGGTATATCGGGACTCACTCACTCTATGCATTTAGGCTGGTCTCAAAATACACATCATGAATTAATCCATCTATCAAAGCACTCGCAAATTCGTGTCAAGAATTTTCTTGCAACACTCAGTAATTTACAACGAGTATTTTAGTTTCGAGTACCTATATTAAACATGACGAATTCTCTTTCCTGCACTCCGGGCATTGCAACAACCCCCTCAGGCTCCACTGTTACCAGAACAAACATACCATCCTGCACAAAACTACTTCACTTAGAACATCAGTTAAGGTAAAAAGAGGGTATCAATGCGAAGCATAGTCATATACACATTTTTAACATTATTTCGTCCCCAAAAAAATTGTCATGGTTGGCTAATGTACAACTTCTTGCCCTGAAAAGAAGTTGTGTTTGAGTAATGCACAATTTTTAAATTTTGGTGACATGCAGTTGTCATAAATCACGAATTACGTGTGTTTTTAGAATTTGGTTGTTGGTTAAACCAAGCCTACCATATGTAACTTATACATGATTTTTTTTGAAACTATACAAACATATTAGTGTCATTCGCCTTTTTTGGCACAAAAAGAATGTTTGGAACCCCGCTCTTTTTCTGGGATAGATGGATTAGTTTAAAACTACCTCCATCTCGAAATGAAGTTCTTCTTGCATTTCATTAAAAAAAACTAAATCAAAAGTTCTACAAAGCAAGAGGTGATGGGACTATTTTTTTATCAAACGCATAATGTGGCAGAGGAAGAGTACTTGCCTGATCATTGAGAATGTCGGAGCTTCCAGTCTTGAAAATTATTTTTTCAGTGTTCAGTAACTTTCTCCCTTGATTTAGCTCCACCTCTGAACCACCTTTCTTCAGTTGTAATAAAAAAGTGGCCGGAATCTGTTATTCATTAAACAGAATAATTAAGCTTCGAAAAGATGAAACTGAAAAATGGACAAAATGGATGGTATTATAATTAGACATACATACAGAAGCGGGATAAGATATCTTCACTTCATACCATGTGTGGGACTTCAGTCCTTGCAAATGGTATAGACGAGATCCTGACTGTAATGGAATAGTTTCCTTATGGAGTTCCTCCCCAACATGCAATAATTTGGTCTCAATCCTATAGTAAAATTGCTTTATGTTGTACTTTCATTCACTCAACAATAACAACAACAACAAACCCAGTAAAATCCCACAAAACGTAGGGTGTGGAGAGTGTGTATACACAAAGTTTACCCCTACTATGAAGTAGAGAGAATGTTTCCAAGAGACCCCCGGCTCAAATACAAAAGCAATCACTGAAGCACGAACGAATTTTAACAAGACACGACATCAATTTTATGCAATCAAATAAATACTACTCCCTCGGTCCCAAAAAAAGGTCTTCTATGTTATCAAAGTAACAAACGCTTTTGTAGAAGTTTTGATGTAGTTTTTCAAATATATGAATTTTGAATTTTTTTAAAATCTTCCAATTCCCAAATAAACTGAGTTGAAAATAATTCCAATCAAACATTGTAAAAATTGTAACTCGTAACAAGAACTTCTTTGAGGAACAAAGTGAGTATGAATTTTGAGATGAATGAAAGGAAGCACTCACTTACTCCCATGAATCATTACTGGACCGATGAAGATATAAATGATAATGGATATCAACCTAAAGACAAGCTTTCTACAATGGCAGAGCATTTCCAAATGATAACTCATCAATCTATTGGAACTTGACCTGGAAAAACACAAACAGACAACATTTAAGTGTGGAGAAGAAAATCAAACCAAACATTAAACAACCCTAGTGCCCATACTAGACTAAGGGTCGGGTTTTTAATTTGATCGCACTTTACCTCGTCCTTTTGGCCTAATTACTACTTCTGAAAGCTTGTGGGGCCAGAAGAAGAGTAGAGGCCGGATCTGGAACAGCACAGAAGCTTCTTCCTTCTTATTCCTACGCCGCCGTTGCCGGAACGCTGCTGCAGCTGCGGTGGAGAAGGGGGGATGAATTGCCGCCTCCCCTGTTTCCGCTGCTCCGACGAAAATGAGGGGACGGTGATGGAGCCTTTGCTCTGCGATGCAGCGGAGATGGGAGGAAAACGAGGGAGATACTTATTCCTTATTTCTTATCAAAATTTATTTCAAATGATGAGATTACATCAATTCAAACTAATTCAGAGATTCAAATTGATTCATTCAGATCAAAAAATTGAAAATAATAATAAGAAGAACTACATAATAATAATTATTATTAGTATTAATAATAATAATGAATAATAATAATAAATTATTATCATTGTAGTAATTAATATTAATAATTAAATAATAATAATCATTAATATTGACTAATAATAATGATATAATTACAATAATAACTAGTAATATTATCACTATTAGTTAATAATAATAATAATAAGTCATAATAATAACAATAATTTATCATCATCGCACTTAAGAATAAAAATAATAGTAATTAATAATAATAATGATGAAATGATAATAATCTTTATTATTATTATTAACACATAGAGTCAGTATCATTCAAAACGATGATGATAAAAAAAATTAACATTTTATCAAACATATTAAAAGATAAGTGAAATAATTTCAATAGTAGATAAATAAAACAAATATTTCAAATAGAATATAAAACAAACATTAATTGTGTATTCTAGTGTGTCGGGTAAAAAAAATTGTGTTCCCGTTCAAAAAAATTAATTCTAAAAGAAAAGTTAAATTATTCAAATAGAATATAAAGGTAAACTATTTATAATATTATAGTTTTATTATATATGATATTCAACATAGTTCATTCAGTATTTTGCTTTTCCACTTTTGAAATATTTGTTTTATTTATCTACTATTGAAATTATTTCACTTATTTTTTTAATATGTTTGATAAAATGTTAATTTTTTTATCATCATCTTTTTGAATGATACTGTCTCTATGTGTTAATAATAATAATGATTATTATCATTTCATCATCATTATTAATAATTACTATTATTTTTATTATTAAGTGTGATGATGATAAATTATTGTTATTATTATGACTTATTATTATTAACTAATAATGATTATTATCATTTCATCATGATTATTATTATTTAATTATTAATATTAATTACTACAATGATAATAATTTATTATTATTATTATTCATTATTATTATTAATACTAATAATAATAATTACTATTGTAGTTATTATTATTATTTTCAAATTATTTTTTTGATCTGAATGAACTCTAACGCTAGAACCAACCCATAGACTAGCACCCATCAATATATAATCACACAATATCAGATAAATCAGCAAATATCATTATTGAATATCATGATCAATTATTTATTTATTTATATCCAGTTCTTGATATTCTTCTACACTTAACCCTATAGGCTAAGGTTTCCTTTTGACTAACTAAGTCATGGACACTCGGACGGATCCCCCGAGGCCACGCTTGATGAAACCCAAAGAGAATCCTCAATGGGCGGGTTGGAGCACCTCGTACGTACGTTTTTAACCCAAGACCCGTGAGTTATGCGAAGCTCGCCCCACCAGGCCTAAATCCTAGATTTTTAATGTTGGGGTATCAATGAATACTAAATAGCAAACCACAACCAAACAGGAACACACACAAAACAGAAATCAAAACGGAGAAAACGGAACACAAGATTTATAGTGGTTCAGTCGGCTGACCTAATCCACTTTGCAACTAGGATTTTTATTATCCAGGTGCTCACAGAATTACAAGTACAGAGATCCCTATTTATGAAGACTAAACTAGGGTTGAAAACTTAATCCCCAAGTTAGGCCCAAGCCCACATAGAGAATTAGGGCCGGTTAAATTAAAAACCTAATTTACTGCCATATGGGTCGAACCAAGACTAGGGCTGGCTGCCCTTCTTGGTCGAGCCTCCACACTCAATTCGCCCAACAATCTCCCACTTGGAGGCTCGAACAACGCCCCTTAGTCTTCATCATCTGTAACTCTTGTAATCCTCATTTTCCACTAGTTGTAGCGGCCTTCTCTTCAATTATCTGAAGGCCCGTTGAAGCTCCCACTGAGCTTCAACTCATCAGTCACAACCAGTGACTCGTTCTCTGCTAGCTCCGAGTGTGACACATCTATCACTCTCCTGGCTTCTAAGACAAACAGAGAACCTACATTCTCCAAACCAAGCAAATTCTTAACAGGAGAAAACATTCAACGCCGGAATACTAGTTTTCCTAACCCACTGTCGGATTGGGACTGAAGCACGACCTGTGCTCCCACTGTCACAAAATTCCCTGACTGGTTGAACCTTCCGAGCTAGTTCATCCTGAATCTGTACTCTTTCTCTGAGTTTCTCCTTTGCAAAGGTAACCCTCTTTAGCACACGAGATTCTTTGAACCGGACCTTTTCTTTTACAAAAACTGGACTTGCTCCTTGTGGAGGTATCTCGACCTTATATAACGAGCCCCTTTTATTGCCACGAGCAACAACAAGATTTCCTTTGACCACCTTCCACTGTCCACCACCAAATT